CGATAGGAAGGAGTACTCATCCAACGGAGAGAGAACGTCGACCGATTCTGAACCGTCACGGACCGCGTTCGCGTATTCTTCCCAATTGATGTTTCTCGTGAGATCGTACGCGATGTTGATTGGACACTGTGAAGATGAACCGTTGGAAATCGAAATTTTGATGGGCAAATGATCACTACCATAGGGGTCTTGGATTACCTCCCACATGCAATCCAATGATAGTGAGTTCGAACAGAGTGACAAGTCTAGTCTGCTCTCTCTTGCTGGAGGTTTGGCTATTCGAGTTACTTCACCGGTGTTTAGAATGGTCATATTGAAATCGTCGCATAGGTCATAGATGATGGTTGAGCGGTTGTCATCGTACAGCTCTCCCCAGCCTGTACCGTGGGAATTAAAATCCCCTAAGATCAACCGCGGCTCAGGTAGCACTGAGCAGATGTCAGATAGCGCTCGCCGAGAAACAGCCGTTCTCGGAGGGATGTATAACGAGGTAATACTGAAGGTTTTACCTCTAATATTCACCTGACATGCGACAATTTCAATACCTGACACTGGAGGAAGGTCGATTCTGTAGAATGAGTGTTGTTTGTTGACCCCTAGGAGCACCCCACCGTACGAATCTGCACGATCGAGACGGATAATGTTGTAGTCGTGAAGAGAAAGGTTAACATCTGGAGAGAGCCATGTTTCGCAGAGAGCAAACGCATCACAGTGTATGTTATGCAGTAAAAATTTGAATATGTCTAGTTTTGGTAAAATGCTTCTACAATTCCATTGAAGGAGAGATACCGTATCATTTTTTGGAAAATTATCCATCGAAGGATACGAATGAAGCAAGGAGGGGCCACTTGGAAGCAAATTGCTTCAGAAAAGGTTTCACGATTGGAAGCATCATGTTAATGATGCTCCGAAGAGGGTCAGTGATGTTGAACAGATCGAGAATGCTGTCCACAATTCCAGAAAGCGTGAACATGGCGTTCTGCTGTTCTGGTTGCAAAACTGGGACATCTGGGGTTTTAGATGTTCCCGGAAGCCCCGGAAATTCTTTGTCATAATCGACAGGCTTAAAACCCGGTGGATTGGGTTTCGGTTTATTTCCGTGACCTCTTGATTTATCCAAGTGGGCTTGGGAGTCAATTTTTTTAGTTTTCTGCGAGTCATTCTTGGATCGCTTCCTTGAAGGACCTTTGAAAACAAAAGGACTTCCGTCATTGCCCTCTGAGTCAGTGTCGTCCTCGTCAACTGGGAGAAGATTGAACGGATTATTGTTTTCTTTTTCCGGAGTGATTTTGGGAGGAGGATTGAAAGTCTTCAAGATCTCCGCAAAGGAACGCTGAGAGCGCGCCTTCAGAGACCGTTCAAGTTTTTTTCCTTGCTGTTTATACTTCGGGCAATCTGCGAGAGGATGCGGAGGTGCCAAACAATAAACACATTTAGGAGGAGCACCACAAGCACCCTCCGCATGCTTCTCGCCGCACTGATCGCATCGTGGCTTGTTGCCGCAGAAGGCGGCGGTGTGGCCTAATTGTTTGCACTTGGTGCAGTTCATCACCCTTGGTATAAACAACCGCACAGGAAGTCGAACCCTCCCAATTCGGACGTAATCTGGCAGAGTCGATCCGGAGAAAGTCACTCGAAACGAGTCAGTCAGCGAATAGATTTTTTTTGTCCCGTCGAGGGATGCTGACTGCATTTGGGTGCAGTCAAGAATCTTGACTTCTGGAAGAACGGGGTTCTTGAAGACACCAACCCCCCTCTTCAAGAAGTCATCGCAGGTCAAACTCGCTTCGGTGACCACTCCTTCGATTTCCACGTCACGACTGGGAATGTAAACGCGGTACTCTAACGTAAAAAGCTCGCAGGCAACAATCTCATTCGCCTGCTTGCGGTTACCAACAGTGACGCGCAGTTTGTCTGGCCTCACCTTCAAAATGTCGGTCACTGACGAGAAACGTTTGAATAGATCTTTTTCGATCTGGTTAACGTTAAGCGGTTTTTGTTTGGGTCGGAAAAAAACAACCCATGGGCCTGTCGAGGCGTCTGGGTATGACTTATGGCGGGGGGCAGTTTTTGTTTTCTTGGCGGGGTTAGGCGGAGTAGGGGGAGACGGTTTTGGCGGTGTGGGGGGAGAGGGATTAGGTGGGGTAGGGGGAAACGGGTTTGGTGGTGCGGGGGGTGACGGTGCTGATGGTGTTGGTGGCGATGGATTAGGCGGGGTAGGAGGAGATGGGGTAGGCGGTACGGGCTCCGGTGCTCGTTTTCGCCTGGGCCGCTTCGGTATGGTTCCGGTGTACTTCTTCACCGTGGCTGACGTTTCCACGTCGGACAGTTCGTCTTCAGTGGGAAAGGCAGGAAGGGTATTCCCCCCGCCATCACTATTACCATCCATTGCGGGGCAACTGCCACCGCAATAGATACAAAACAACTACACACAGGGAACACACAGGGACAAGAGAAAAAAGAAGAAGAAGAAGAAGAAAATATTTGCGTGGGATGGGAGAAAGGGGAAACTAAAACAAAGGGGCAATAAATAAAACTTATTCGCTACTTAACTACACCGGCACAAAGCGTGTGTGTGGAAACGCTGTTATCACGTGGTGCGTTGGTGTTGGTCCACGCTGCTATCCGGTGGTGATGGTTGGTGTTGGTGGGTCAGCAAGCTGGTGATACGACACGCTTCACTATCACTTGCACACCCTCGCGACGGCGTGAAAAAATGATGGACTTGACGACGCCGTTAACTCCGGTGATGGATTACCGGGATGAATTAAAGCTGGATGGTAACTCCAAGGGGCTCGGCCGATGGAATTCCACTTCCTCTGTTGGACACTGGTCACTTGGGGCACCCAATGGGGGGTGAAAAAAACCGCTCGGGCGGAAAAAAACACCGAAAAAAACTAGATGCCGCGCAACTGAAACCGGGACGTTGTTAACCGACTGAATGCTCAACTAGGAATGGTTGCTGGTCCTTATTAATGAATCATTGCAACCTGGACATGTTCCGCAAATTTGGAAGGAATCCTTAGTGGTTCCTATTCAAAAAGTTGCTGGAACGATTAAAGCCGAAGAGTTTCGTCCCATCAACATGTTGCACAAATTAGAGAAAATTTTAGAACTTGTTGTTAAAGGCCAGCTGTTGGAGTATTTAAATAGTAATAGTTTGTTGATACCAGAACAATCGGGATATCGGGAAGGTCATTCTTGTGAAACCGCGTTGAATTTGGTATTAGCGAAATGGAAACATAATTTGGAGTGAAAATATACGATTGTTGCTGTTTTCTTGGATCTAAAACGCGCTATTGAGACAATTTCTAGGCCCTTATTGTTAAGATCAATCAAGCGCTTTGGAATTACGAATACTGCATATAAATGGTTTGAAAGCTATTGGTCTGACAGAACTCAACGGACTGTTTTTAATGATTCTGTGTCCAGTCCTTGGAGTGCCTCATAACCTTGGAGTGCTCCAGGAAAGTGTATTAGTGCTCCTGTTATTTATTATGCATATTAATGACTTGCGACGTGTTTTGCGTCGCTCATCATCTAGACTTTTACCTATCCATTTTATGTCTGTCCAATGAAACACAAATATCGAGATTACAGCGCTCGCAGAATAAAATAATGCGTTTGATATTGAGATGTAATAGATTCACTTCCGCAACTTTGATGCTGGACGCTTTACAATGCAAGACCAACAACTGAAATGGCCTCAACTCCATTTTGTAAACAAACCTTGTAGGGCCATATTCTCGCGAACCTATATTCGTAAACATTAACCACAAGCGGGTAGAAAATCTCTTCTCCTACATGTTCATTCTGTTGTTTGGCCTTGTTCGCGAGAAAATTGCCATACAAGGTTTGTTTACAAAATGGAGTTGAGGCCTTTTCAATTGTTGGTCTTGAATGGTTGTCAGTGAAGCAAAAAATAGTAAATTTGACGATGGTGTTCATTTTTAAAGTAGTTAACGGTTTGCTGCCTCAAAATTTGTGTGATCGAATTGAAAGAGGAAGTGACTTTCATAGATATAATACTATAAACACGGTTGAAATACGAGCACCTTATTTGTTGACTTGTGCTTCACAAAATTTGTTTTATTTTAAAGGAATAAATGTTTTCAAATCGATGCCTAGACATATCAAACGTTCAGCAACACTTACAGAATTTAAAAGACACTGCATTTCACACGCTAAAACTGTCTTTTGAATAGTTATCCAGTGATTTTTTATGAATTGACAAATTATGTATCATAACGAAGTTATCTCTAACGGATTAAATAATATTGATAGCTGTCATAACGACTTTTTAATATATATATTTTTTTTATTTTTTATATTTGATTTAAAAAAAAGTACTCTACAAAGGTTTTAGCCTCACGCGCGTATTACGGATATAGAGGGCTGAATTTAAAATTTGAAGCTTATTTGAAAGATACCTTGAGTTAGTAGTAAGTTTTCTGGCAAATCTTGGGGGTTGTGAGCATTCCTGACATTGCTGAAAATTATAATAGCATCAGATTGCGGGGTTGCTAGTGTAATAGGATGTATTTTTGATTGTTCATTAACTCTTGATTGCTTGTAATACTTATGAATGTTTTAGGTGGACAAAAAGGCGAACTAAGAGGTGGACGCCTTAGCTTTTCCACGAAGTAGGAGACATCTTATCTTTTGAAGTACCTGGCTGTGCTTGGAACATTGTTGAGTTTTGTTGAGAATCGATTGGATGAGTTGTAGTGATGTTGACTTTCGGTCTAGATTCTAGTTTTACGAGTTCTCTTAGCAAACTGTCAGAAGCCTCTCGACCAGACGCAGCAATATCTTTATCCCCTTCAAAAAGCCCAGCAAGAAAGTCTTCAACAATGTCGTTTTGAACTTGAGTGTGATCTTGTTCTTCCGTAGCCTGAGTATCAACTCCAGATATCTCGTCCAACCGTTTATTCAAAGGAATTCCTGAAACAAATTGACGTTGAAAAATATACATTATTTGATGGGATATTTTAAATTACTTGCATGGAAGATTTATCGTCACTAGACAGCCGTCTGGATCCAATGTAATTGAATCGAGGGTCCAAGTGTAAACATGCCTTGAAAGCCATGTTCGTATTCAACTTTTCCATTCTCAATCCCATTGCTTTGAAAAGCTTCAACGCAAGCGTATTATCCTTAGTCGCATTCAGTTTAGCCATACACGTCAGCCAACCTACATAAAACTGCGAGAGAGGCACGAGGTCTTTCTGCTTCATGGTCAGAACGAACATTGGTTCAAAGGCCACACAAAATTTATCAACGAAGTGCCAGTGCCATGATAGGCCTATAAGTACATGTATTAGTAATTTAAGGTGGTACATAACACTTCGAAAACGAACTTTTTTTTTTAAAGAACTTACCTAGTGAAGAATCCTGGCTTTGTAATACGCTCAAGAAAAGACCATCTTTCAGAGATCGAAGATACCTTAACACGATGTACCAAACATTCCAACGCGTTTCGTTGACCTTTGGAGGAAGTGGAACTTTGTGGATCCGGAACTGTTTGTGCCGCATCCTTATAAACGATTTGTTTATTGCGTTTAATCTCCGCTTGTATGGCTTAATAACATCCCATACTGCCAATTGTGCGGTATGGGAGCCACATCTGATGCTCTCAAGAAGATCAACATCCACATCGTCCGCCTCATCTTGCAAAGCGAACTCAGCATCCCCTTGTCCGTTGCTAAAATCGTCAGAAATGGATTCATCCGCTTCACCTGAATCTTTGACCAGTTCTTCCTTGTCGCGATCTTCGCCTTCAGAAGCACTGTCATCATCAATGTACTGCTGCAAGCCATCATCTTTCCAAAATACAGTGGGCAGAGTTACATCTTCACTTTCTTTGCAAAACTTTAGGAGAGCTCTGAGGCACCTTACAGCAGCCAACATGTTTGCCCCATTAGCGTGGGTAACAGTTAGCAGTTGTTGAAGGCTAACACCGATTAGTTGCAGTTCTTCTTCTAGAACCTTTCGTAAGTTCTCTTTTGTTTGACGTTCGACCATCTCTCGAACAGCTGAAAAAGCATGACAAAAAAATCTCTTAATTCGTTATCTTTTCGCAGTAAGAAAACATTAAAATTTCTAATAAATATCGATTTTTCAGGTGTACACTCACCAAGATGCCTAATACACACGTTCCCATTTTCATCTAGATACTGAAAGTTGATTCCAAAAACTGACCGGGAGGCGGAGTCGATCTTCAAACAAATTATCCTCTGTTTCAACTCCTTCTGGTTTATTGATCGCAGAATTCGAGCCGCTGTTGTAATCAACTTGGCAAGCTTATCGCGAGTAAAGTTGAATCCAACTGCCTTCCACAAGGACAAGATACGAGTTTTTACTCCTTCCCATTCTGGAAACCGAAGAGGCATATTGTGGCCAGTTGCGAGTTGCAAAGTTCACAGCAGCACTTCGTTTCGTGAAGTGTCCACAGATAATTTGGAGCTGCGTGTTTTTTAGGCCGGAGGTTCGTCTAATGAAAATCCGAGCTCTCTCGCAATATCCGAATGGCTACTTATCAGATGGCGCCTAAAGTTGCCAGGAACAAACGTTACCTGTACGTAGCTGCATGGCTGTTCTTCGTCTGAACTCGCACGGCATTGGAATCGTTCAGTTTTCCCATCGGATCCAATTATCTGCTCAACCTCATTCAGGACAATATTCATTTGCAGGGTTCGTTTTGCACTCATGATGACAAATTATCACTCAAAATGTTGATATTAAAACTCGCGATTCTGGTTTTCGATTTTATCACGCGCTTTGTTTTCGAGACTCTGAGAATGAATATTTGAGCATTTGACAGACAGATGAACTGGATCGAGAGTGAGAACATTTTGCTTCTCAAGCAACTCAGTGTGAGTGGTGAGAACTCACTTAACCTAAAGATTTGACATCTATGTTCATTGCCTCATCGGTCAAATATGCCATGGTACGTACGGAAATCCTTATCGTCAAAGAAAGCAAGGTGAGAAATCAATGATAAGGGAAGCAATGTGGGTCCATTGATGTCCCTTCTGTACATCAACGACATAGCGAACATGAAACTTCATGGGAAGCCTCGGTTATTCGCTGATGATACGGCACTTTCCTACCAAAGCTCCGATCAGAACCTAATTATCCATCAGATGAAAGAGGACTTAATCATTCTGCAGGGATTGTTATCTGAAAATTTGCTGTCACTTAATCTGTCCAAGACCAAATTTATGCTGTTTCACTTGCCTCGTTCAATTCAGACTCGCCATTCAGACTTAGTTGTCGACTCAATTAAGATTGACAGAGTAGATACTTTCAAGTATCTTGGGCTTACTTTTGATTCTAAGTTGAAATGGGGCGAACATATTTCTATTCTTCAACGGGTTAGTGCTACGTGCGGTATAATTTGGAAAGTATCCCGATACCTGTCAGTGAAGGAACTCACTACTGTGTACTACGCTTTCGATCACTCAAAGCTTCAGTACCTTGTATCTATCTGGGGATCTGCAGCTAAATCTTTACTACGGCCGCTACAGTCAATTTAAAATCGATGTTTGAAGACATTATATAACCGTCCTTTACTGTTCTCGACTGTAAGAGCTGCACGTGCAATTTTGCCCATCCTCGCTATTCGAGAGAAGCAGTGCTTAGTTTAGATGCACAATATGCTTATCAACCCTGTTGCTGTACACAACCAACGAGTACCAAATCGATACCCTTTAAGGAGTCAACCAGTTCTTTCAATCAATCACCCATGGACAGAGGCTGGAATAATGCTTTACCTGCTCAAAACTTTAACAAAATATCCAAATATTTAAGAAGCTGGCCACTTCGCTTATCCGAAGTAAGATAGAAACCTACGTAATATAAAAGTAGTGCTAAATAAGGCAGTAGTAGTTGTAACTAGAAGTAGCGTTGAATTAGCGTGTAAAATTTCTGAATTCCGCGCCCCCTTCACAGAGATTATTCTCACTGGGGGTGCTATTTTGTTCGCTCATGATCCACCATTTTCAACGACCTCGTGCAGTATCCACATCCAAAGCCACCTGTCGTCGTTATTCTAGAGTTCATTCTCCGAAGGATTGTCATCTAATTAGTCGGTGGTATACCGGTTTTCTGCCAGGTAACAAAGAAAACGCCAGTGATGCTGCGCTCCTAATGTTTGAAACAATCGGTTCCAGCTTTCACAGCGTCTTCTTGACCACTGCTTCGTGAAGACCTTCATCTGCTGTAACTACACCAAAGGCTGTATGACCACCGGAGTAGTTGTATGTGCCTGACCGAAGACACCAGCGATACTGCGCGCCTAATGTTGTGCAACACTCGGTTCCAGTTCAAAATGCATCAGCATCTTCTAGACCTTCATTTGCTGTAACTACATCAGAGGCTGTATCCACCGCCGTAGTTGCCGGTCATAGGAGCCTCTTCATCTGGTTGGCTGGTAGCACACCTGTTCTTTCTCAGATCTTACTGTATCAGCGTCTTGATGATCACTGCTCCGTGACCACCTTCAGCTGCCGTAGCTACATCAGGGTTTTTTTTTTGGCAAGGATGAAACCTTCTACAGGCCATCGTGCCACCACTTGCTGACTGGGCGCACAGTCGCGGTGACATGGTGTGTGGGATTCTCAACGCACTAAAACCTCCTTGGACGCATTGCCCTTTTTCACCGGAACCACTTGTTATATTACTTCGGAGGGGGCCGTGCATTACGCACCTCACTTTACCTCAGCTAATAGGCGCTTCCAGTTCGCTGATCGTCTCTCCAATTTGTGAGCCATTTAGCTCGCAGCGTCGCGTTCTACTCGGTTAACCCCGGTGGTGGATTCAGCCTACTCTGACGGAGAGTTCTCCCGGTTTCGGCTTTCACTTCGCACATTACTACTTTCTAGCTGGTCCTCTCGCCATTTTCGCTGCAGCGCTGACATGATCTGCGTTACTGCTCTGCTGACGGCGTTAAAGGTGCCCTCCTCTCGACACATTTCTTCGACGACATTCTCCGTGCTAAGGGCGAGCATCTCCTCTCGCACAGCATCAAATCTAGAACATTCGTAGACCACGTGCTCTGGTGATTCTTCCACATTCCCACACTCCGGACAGAAGGGTGACGTTGTGTGTCCGAACCGATGCAGGTACTTCCTGAAGCAACCATAATCAGCTACATCAGAGCCTGTATGATCACCAGCGTAGTTGCCTGTTAGTTTCACTGGTCGTGGCAGCATCTTCCTCTTCTAGTCAGCTGGTAGCACCTCTGTTCTCTCCCAGGTAACTATGAATAAATAGTATGTGTCTGACCGAAGACACCAGTGATACTGCGCGCTTAATGTTGTGCAACCATTGGTTCCAGCTTTACCTGCATCAGCGTCTTCATGACCACTGCTTCGTGAACACCTTCATCTGCTGTATAGTAACTACACCAGAGGCTGTATGACCACCGGCGTAGTTGCCGGTTAGTTTCACCTGTTGTGGGAGCCTCTTCATCAGGTCAGCTGGTAGCACACCTGTTCTTTCCGAAGATCTTCATCTGGTCGATGACTCGGTCGACTTTGAAGGACGATTGCACTCCCAGTTTTGTTTTATTAAAACTTACGCACATAGTGAACAAATGAAATGTACTTATGGAAAAGGGATTAAAAAACTTATTTTTAAACCAAAAAAAAGGGTAGGTAGTATGTTTTCTCCGTGCCGTTAGGAGCAAAACTAAAAGCGATCAAATACGTCCAACTAACTGCACACGGTATCACTAGTCATTCGGATCCCAGCTGACAGCTACACGAAAAAAAAAAACATCATGTTCATGTAAATTAATTTACTGTTGAATTTGCACCATTTGGCAAACATTGCAATTCGATGTGGAAGAGATCATAATGAAGCACGATGAAATCAACAGCAAATCACTTCATTTGATGTGCTGTGCTTTGACCTCAAAATGTCAAGCATACTGATATTAAAAATCTATCACTTTAAATTTAACTAATTTATCCTTGGATTTCATGTTTCCTGAATATGGATTTAAATAAATATATTTCCTTGTTCATCCCTCCCCTTTGCTAGTTTTTGCACCTTGCTGTTGGTGGGTGAACTTAATTTCATGCTTTATAGTGGAGTGTTGGAGACGGTAGGTTTATGGCCAGCGTTGCTGGCTCATGCCTCGATAGAATGACGTCATGGGCAGGCAATAAGGATTACTAAGCTTCCCCTCTCTGATAAACCACTGCATGAGAGAACCAAAGATCTAGTCTAGCAGTGATAGTATCACACTTGTTACTCCTTTGATTGAGAGCCGCGTCGTAGTACGCTTACGTATAGGCACTGACGTTGGGTGTGATACTGGTTGGTTTTTGCCGCAAATCACTCTTATTTTATTTATTTTTACGCAGATAGATTTATTTGGGTTTGCAAGGGAATTATACTATTGAAATATTTCAGAAAGTGCCCAACGGTGCTCCTTCTATTTGCGTGACAAGCTTTCATTGTTGTTTTCATTGAGGTATTACTCAGGGAACAATGTTAAACACCATTTTGGTACATTGTATTGTAACTAATCTTATATGTGCTTCATTTTGATTTGGGATAAGTGTTTGAACTATGGCTCGGGATTTCCACTGCGGCGTGCTTCTACTGTGACATACCCATACGTATTTTTGTGGTGCGACATAGTGGAAGCGTGTGAGCATAGTTGGAGCATATACCCTATATAATTTAAAAATAAGCTAGGAAACTAACTTCAAAATGAAGCATTTTAGTCTCATGTAGATGTTACCTGGGTCGAATTAAGATATAATAAATAGGTATGGGTCAAAATCAAAAGTACTTGAAACACGTTTAATTTTAGATTACAAGCACAAGTACAGGTATTTAATAAAGCATGGGTTATGATTGATTAGGTGAATCAGAGCTTTTAATAATTTATTAAATTAGACTAATGAGATATCATAATCTTGATGAACTTAAATAAGAAACTTCAGAAAGTCTAATGACATTAAGTAGATTAACAAAAGAATAAGGATGCGGGGGGTCCGATTAGGGAG